CTACAAAATAAGATGGTTTCAAAAAAAATAAACACACCCACAACTCACACAAACAAACAAGAATGAGACAGAATTGGTATGGGAAATAATTATCTTCCTTCTAAAATTAATAAAAATGAAATGAGCAGCCAAGTGATGTAGCACACACCTGTAATCCCAATATACTGAGAGTCTGAAAAAAAAAAAAAAGATACAGGCCAAAAATGTGAAAAAAAGAAAAAAAAAAAAGGAAACAAAGTCTTTGTAAATAGGGAAGGGTAAAGGGGGTGAAGGGAAGGCAGGTCTATGGGGAAAAATAGGAACCGAGACATGTAAAAGTACAAGATCCCAATGATAAAGGTAACTATATTGTTTGCATTAAATGTACTAATAAACTTAATGGGGAAAAAAAAAAAAAAGATCCAGGCCAAGCTGGGCAACTTAACAACTCAGCAGGACCCTGCCTCAAAATAAAACAAAAAATTTAAAAAAGGGTTGAGAACAGGGTTGGGTATTTAGCTCAGGGATGCTGCCGCCTGCTTTGCAAGCTTAAGGTCCAGAGTTTGATCCCCAGTACCAAAGAAGAGGGTGGGGGGGTGAGGATATAGCTAAGTGCTAAGGCCCTGCATTCAATCCCCACTTCCACCAAAAATAAAAAAATAAAATAAAATTAGCAAACAATAAAAAGAATGAATCACATTAAAGTAACAGTTATAAGGTTGGGGCTTTAGCTCAGTGGCATTGCACATGCCTTGCAAGCTCAAGGTCCTGAGTTTGATCCCCAGTACCCCCCCAAAAATATAATAATAATAAAATAATAATAATAACAGTTATAACACGAAAGAGGTTAAAGGGTTACTTCTTGCTACAGACTGAATGTTTGCATCCCTTCAAAAATTCATTATTTTGAGCACTCAGGAAGCTGAGGTAGGAAGAGCCACATGAGTTCCAGCGAAGCCTGGGCTACATAGTGAGTTCAAGGCCAGCCCGAACTACATAGTGAGATGTTATAAAAAAATCCTAAATAAAAATTCATATATTGAGCCAGGCATACTACACACCTATAATCCTAGCAATTGAGAGGCTGAAGTAGGAAGATCACAAGATTGAGTCCAACCTGGGATATATATCAAGACCCTGTCTCAAAACAAAGAGAAAAATAACTTCACACAGAACGTAATCCTTCATGTAATAGTACTCTAACTTGTCTTCTGAAAAATACTTAGATTATTAGACCAGGAGGTCCCATGAATGGGATTCGTACCTTTACAAAAGAGACTCAGAGGTCCCTCATCCATTCTGCCAGTAAAGAAATGAGAATCAGCCTGCCCATGAATCAGAAAGGGGTTGTCCCTAGACACTAGCACCTTGACACTGGGCTTTTCAGCCACTTAAACTGTAAAAAATTTTTGTTGTTTATAAGCCAGCCAGTCTATGGTTCTCTGCAAGAGCAGCAACCAGGTCCCAGGACATTGTTCATGAATAATTTATAAACCAAAAAGTTTTCTTCAAAGTTACATTTACAATTAATTTGGGTTCCTGAATTCTTGACTTTCTAACAAATTTAGTCTACCAAAATTCAGTTTGTTAAAAAGAAACAATTTAAAAGCTTCTGCCAATGAAATTCTGAAATAAATTTTTACCTGGGAGCCAGGGGTACACAGCTCCCAGAGATCCCTGTCACCAGACTGGGTTGCATGGTCAAGGACATGAAGATCAAGTTCCTAAAAAGATATCTATTCTCCTTGCCTAGCAAGTAGTTGAAAATTATTCATTTTTTTACAGATGTCCCTCAAGGGCGATGTTTTGAACATTATGCCCATACAAAAGCAGAACCTCCGTGGCTAGCTGATCAGGTTCAAGGCATTTGTCACACACGAAACCAGCCTGGCTATGCTAGTGTTAAGTGCTCCAAGATGGTAGCCATCACCATGTAGAAAGTCATAATCCTGGCTGAGCAAACTCTCCATTGTTGCTGTGTGGCAAGAGTACTGCAAGAAGTAACAGCAGCAAACCTGTCCCATCCCTTACAAGGTGATGAGCTGCTGTCTTCTTGACTCCTTGCTGGTGTGTCTCATCCCCAGGAGGCACTGGATCATCTAAACCCCCAAGAAGCTGCCAGCAGGGCCACTATCAACAACTGCTAGCAATTTGGCCAGGGGCTATACTGCTATTCCCCCAGGTAACTTCACCAAGCCATCCATAACCTATCCCTAAAACCTATAGCTGCCTCACCCTTAATCCCTAACCTCTGGGAAAAGACCATGTAAACCATGTCACCCTATCATGACTTCAACATTTCACAAAGGTGAACAACAGAAGCTTTGTGCACAGGATCCAGGGCTCAGCTGTACCTACTATATGGTGTTTTTATACAATAAAAGTAAGGTGAATTATTTACGCCTTTTCAAAAGAAAAAAAAATCTGTAACTAGGAAACAAAGAATTACTAAACATTACATAATGTTTATTATCAGTTTACTTATTACAGCAAAAAAGGGAAACAACCTAAATGCTTAATAACAGAGGAAAAAAGGCCGATGATGTAGCTCAGTGGCACTGTGCCTGCCTCGCAAACGCAAGGTCCTGAGTTTGATTCCTGGTACCAAAACACAAAACAAAACAGAGGAACAGTTAAATCTGGCCTAGGTATAAGGAAATACTATGCAGAACCTTTAATATTTTAAAAACTTCACTTTGAAGATGTAGCTCAGTGGTACAGCATTTGCCTCGCATGCATGAGGCCCTCAGTTCAATCACTAGTACACCAAAAAAAATAAAAGTTAAAGCCAATCATTGTGCTGCATGACTGTAAAAGACAATTGTTCTGGTGCATGACTATAATCTCAGCTACTTGGGAAGCTGAGACAGGAGGACTGCAAACTGGACTCGAGTTCCAGTAACTTAGCAAGAATGTGTCTCAATACCCAAAAAAGAAGCCAGGCGTAGTGGTGCATACCTATAATCCCAGCACTCGGGAGGTTGAGGCATGGGGATCTTTGCAAGTGTGGCTATAGCCTTGGCTACACAGTAAGTCAAGGCTAGCCTGAGCTGCATATATCAAGACTCTTCTTCCTTCAAAACCAAAAATGAACAGGGTGGGCTCAGTGGTGCCGCTGCCTACCTCACAGGTGCAAGGTCCTAAGATCGATACTTGGTACCAGATTTAAAAAAAGAAATTGGGCTAGGGATTTAGCTCAGTGGCACCGTGCTATCGATACCTGGTACCAGATTTAAAAAAAGAAATTGGGCTAGGGATTTAGCTCAGTGGCACCGTGCTATCGATACCTGGTACCAGATTTAAAAAAAGAAATTGGGCTAGGGATTTAGCTCAGTGGCACCGTGCTATCGATACCTGGTACCAGATTTAAAAAAAGAAATTGGGCTAGGGATTTAGCTCAGTGGCACCGTGCTTGCCTTGCAAGCACATTCCCAGTACTGCAAAAAAAGAAAAAAGAAAAGAAAGGAAAGGAAAAGCAAAGCAAAGCAAAACAGGAAGGAAGGAAGGAAGGAAGGAAGGAAGGAAGGAAGGAAGGAAGGAAGGAAGGAAGGGAAGAGAGAGAGAAGGAGAAAGAGAAAGAAAAGAAGGCAGGCAGGCAGAAAGACACTGAATTGGGTAAGACGGCACACACCTATAATCCTTGCTACTTAGGAGGCTGAGGCAGGAGGATACCAAGTTCAAGGCCAGCCTAGGCTAGGCAATTTAGCAATAACCTCTTTCAAAAGAAATATAGCTGGGGATGTAACTCATACGAAGATTCTGCATTCAATCTCTAGTACAAAAAGAAAAATGAAAGGAAGGAAGAAAAATTTGGATGATTTATACTACCTGATTTCAAAGTTTGAAATAGACATATGATCAATAAAACAGAAAAGAGTACAGACTTTTAATTTTTTTGGCAGTTATGGGCAATGAATCCAGGACCTGATACACATTAGGTAAGTGCTCTATTACTGAGCTACTTCCCAGCTCTACTTTTCTCTAGAGTTCTAATTTTGGTAAAAAGGGAAGAGTCATACTTTCAATGAACTTTGTAAAATATAAAATCTTTTAGTGGTGCCTAGTGCTACAGGCCACAATCCAGGCTATGTAGAGGCATGAGGGAGAAGGTTCTCAAATGCAAGTAAGTGTGAGGCTAGTATGCCCAAAGTAGCAATTTAGCCAGATCCTGTCTCAAAATTAAAAATAGTGCCAGGCGTGGTGAGGCACACTTGTAATCCCAGCATTTGTGAGGCTGAGACAGGAGGATCATCACCAGGTCAAGGCCAGCCTGAACTACACAGAGTTCATGGCCAGTCTGAACTGAACTACATAGTGAGACACTATCTCAAAAAAAAACAGGGTAGGGGGAGCCTACAAATGTGGTATTGTATGAGGCTATGGTTTCAATCCCCAGTAGCACAATAAATCAAAACAAACAGGCTGGGGTTGCTGCCCAGTCACTAAACTGCCTGGGCTTGAATTTATGATCCTCCTGCTTCAGCCTCCCAGAGTGCCTGGTGGCATGTGGCAACACAGCTTTTTTTTTTTTTTTTTTTTTTTTTTTTTTTTTTTTTTTTTTTTTTTTTTTTTTTTTGAGATGTGGTCTCATTCTGTAGTCCAAGCTAGCCCTCAACCCACAATTCTCCTGCCTCAGCCTCTGGATTGCTAGAATTACACAAATGTATCAAACACCTGGCTTCAAAAAAAATTTTTTTAGTACTGGGGATCAACTCAGGACTTTGCACTTGCGAGGCAGGTACAGCACCCCTGAGCTAAATCCCCAGCCCCTAACTCCAAATTTCTTAAAGGGTTACTTTACATAACTCCTAACTCTATGTGAACAAAGAACAAAAATTCAAGGCCAGCCTGAATTACAGAGCAAGACTGTCTCAAAAAAAAATCTTTAATCACAATCACTGAGTATTCACTCAGTAGCTACTTACCATAACAAGACAGTATGAACTGCAGGAAGAAGAGAATTCCCAAACAAAGAGAAGCCCATATGTAACAAGACCAAAGAAAAATATCAAAAAACTTACGTTGTTAGTAAGAACGCCCCATCACCACACCTCTCCAGAGCCTTTCGTGCAGGAGGTTTTGCGGCAAATTCTACAAAACCTTTTCCCGTAGCTCTACCACGATCATCCACAACCACAACGGCTTTCTCTACTGGGCCAAACTGGGAAAATGCTTGCTCTAGAAGCTCATTGGAAACAACTGGAGAAAGGTTCTTGACAGTTAGAGCTGCTCCATGTGTAGCAAAGCGAATTCGAAGGGGTCTGCTCTTCAAAATGGTGCCATCCAGTTCTGCTTTTGCGATTTCAGCCAGTGTTCTGGATTCCTTTTTAGAAGAAAAAAAATCATTTTTTAAAGACAGTAACAAAACAAAAATCAAAACAGTGTTTTGCTTCTAGGGAGAACTAGACAGGTTTCAGAAATGCATGACCAAGTCCTTTTGTTTCTCTTTCAACTTTGGAATCATGTGCTATCTCTTAGCTATTCAAAGATATTTATAAACATTTTATGTAAAAAGTTCCAACAGGTTATGCTGTTAAAAGTTAAAAATCATCACTTAAACTGCTCATACACAAGTTACTAGCTATTAAATACCAAAACAGTATCTTTTTTTTTTTTTTTTGGTACTGGGGATTGAACTGGGGTCCCTGTGCTTGCAAGGCAGGCAGCAGAACTACTGAGCTAAATCCCCAGCCCCAAAGCAGTATCTTTTCAAAACCTCCCATATATTAAAACACAATTTTTTTTCCAGGTACCAGGGATCAAACTTGGGACCTTGTACTTGCAATGCAGGTGGCAGCCCCACTGAGCTAAATCCCCAGCCACACAAATTATTTTTTGCGATCAAGTGCCAAATTAGTAGAAAGTATCAAGAAAAGAATAATTTTTATTTGTTACTGGCGATCAAACTCAGGACCTTGGGCTTGCAAGGCAGGTGCAGTGCCACTGAGCAGAATCCCTGACCCAAAGAAAAATTTTTTTATATCTTGTATGTTTTTAGTACTGATATCTTGCTGGAATAGTGCGGCACACGGTAATCCCAGTACTCAGGAGGCTGAGGCAGGAGGACTACTGTGAGTTTGGGACCAGCCTGGGCTACAGAATGAAGAGAGAGGGAGAGAGGAAGAGAGGGGGAAGAGAGGAGAAGGGGGAAGGGGGAAGAAGGAGGAAAGGTATTTTAACAAAATATCTACCTCTCAGGCCAGGGATTTAGCTCAGTGGTTCCACTGCCTGCCTTGCAAGTGCAAGGTCCCGAGTTCTATCCCCGGCACCAAAAAAACAAAAACAAAAACAAAACCCCAACAAAATATCTACCTCTCCACAGTCAGAAAAATCTCTTTTCCTTTTTATGTAATTCTTATTCTATATTATCTGTAAAAACTACTATTAGGTCCCGTTAATCATTTCTCCTAAAATACCTGCATGGATTGCACTATCAAATGGAGAAAACCAAGTGCACATATTCATAGATTGTAACAGTTCTTTCCACTACAGAAAGAAACAAGTGATATAAGCACTTATAAACTAGAAAATATGTTCGTTGCTAAAACCATGAGTACCTTTTTACCTCAACAATTCAACACTGATATAGAGTAAGAAGATGGAGAAGCCAGGGACTTAGCTTAGTGGTTTTGTTGCCTGCCTCACAAGCACAAGATCCAGAGTTCAACCCCTGGTACCAACAAAACAAAAAAGGATGGAGAATACGTCATTGGTAGATCACTTGCCTAGTGAGCAAGCACAGGTTTGATTGGTGGGGGCGTTGACTGCTGTATAGAATACAGGCATCTAAGACAATAAATAACAAACTGTTAAATTTAATAAAGCAATGTTCTTTTTCACTGTGCTGCAGGATTTCCAAGTACTGAAGAGAGGCTTTACATGTTTATATAAGAAGAATACAAATACAGTATCTTAAAAATGTCTTAACATCACAAAAGCTCTTTCCTCTCAACACCACTCCCCAATAAAGGGGAATGATCCAGTGGTGCTCTACCACTGAGCTATAATCCCCAATTTTTAACATTTTATTTTGAAACAGGGTCTTACTAAATTGGGGATTTAGCTCAGTAGCGCTGTGCCTGCAAGGTCCTGAGTTCGATACCCAGTTCCAGAAAAATCAAACAAACAAAACACCATCAGGTAGAACTGAGAAGAAATTCCACGGGGCAATAATAATAATGCTCTATATTTTTGCAGGAGTTTAAGTCAAACAAATGTACACATCTGTAAAAACTCACTAACCAGTACACTTAAAATCTTTGCCTTTTGCCAGGTATAACAATTCCCAATTTGAAACTATACTACAAAGCCATTGTGATAAAAACAGCATGGTACTGGCAAAGAAACAGGCCTGAGGATCAGTGGAACAGACTGGAAGACACAAAAACAAACCCAGATGTACTCAGCTACCTCATCTTTGACAAAGGAGCTGACCATCCTCAGTGGAGGAAAGATAGCCTCTTTAATAAATGGTGTTGGAAAAACTCGATGGCAACCTGCCACAGATTAAAATTAGACCCTTATCTTTCGCCATGCACTAAATTAAATTCCAAATGGATTAAAGATCTAAATATTAAAACAGAAACATTAAACTTGCTGGAAGGTAAGTTAGGCAGAACTCTGGAAGACATTGGCATAGGAAAAGTCTTTATAACAAATCCTCAGTAGCACGGGAACTAGCAGA